TCCATTGGACTCCATTGATTACTTCTGTAACATAGTGACATCACTATGTTTCACTCACGCATCTATTGGCTAGCGCTCCAACACATTGTACATGATAGGCTAAGGGGCGGGACATCTCTAAGCGGTTCACCAATCACAAGAGAGCCAGCCAGCTAACCAATCAGAGCAGACTGGGCTCTGGTTTCAGACAGAGGGTGAAAAGAGGTGCTGCAGCACAGGCAGTATGAGGAAAAGAAAGAGCTTTTTGAACATTAAAGCATGGAGACATGTCACAGAGTAGAGACACTACTGTACATACTGATATGAACCTGAAGATGAGCAGAATATGTCCTTTTTAAAAGATGAGTTCATTAGATACAACTCAGAAATGTCACAGTGTGGGGTGTGCTGTGTTTTGATCTCCTGGATTATAGAAATGTGTCCCCACATGCCACGTGTAAAGTCACACATTCTCATTGACTTCCCCTTTTGTCTTGTTGTCCAGCGAAGCAACTCCCTCTGTTTAGGATAATCTGTCAGCAAAGTTAATGTTCCCACAGTTGAGATAAGTGGCTGCACTGTAAATCGTGTGTGCCATCTTTCTTCCAGCCAAGTCCTCTCAGCGTGTTCTCCCTGCAGCTGGAGACAGCCGTACCCAACAGCAGCTCCAGCGTGGTGAACCACAGACTGAGCGGGCACATGCTGATAGACTACACCCGCTGTGGCAATAAATAGGTTCTAAAAAAAAAGAGGGGACCACAGTGGTGTTTTCTGTTTGGTTGCCATGGTAATGTGGGCTTGAGCTGAGGAGGTTACAGCAAAAAAAGAACTTAAAGGGGACCTATCATGCAAAATGCACTTTGTGATGTCTTTTATACATAAATATGTGTCCCCGGTGCGTCGGGGAACTCACGCAGCGTCAGAAAATAAAACCCTCTCTCCTTTCCTCCGTACCCAAATCTTTTAAAAACAGGGGTACAACGAGCGGATACAGATTCCATCCGAACTGACATCAAATCGGCAGCGGACCCACAGAAAGTTGCTATCAGAAACAATGCCTGACGTGTTTTGGACGTAGTCTCGTCTTTGTTTACATTAGCAAGCCTCGCTAACACTCAGAGCTAACCTGTACTGGAGAGCACATGTGTTTAAAAAGCAGGAAATAAAAAAAGAACTCACCTTGTGATAAACCTGCAAGAGAAAAAGCATTTGAGCTCCATACTGTTTCAGAAATAATCCTTGACGTGGTTTAAACAGGATGGCGTTTTATCACAACCGAATTTAACTTTATCTCCGGTAGAATTCTGATCAGGCATTAGCTCCGCCTCCTCTTCTTTCTTTTTTGCAAGCTAAGGACCCAAGATCCGCGTTTCTCTAACAGGGCTTCAAAAGAGGGGTTTGAGCAGTATGAGGCATGGCTACAATGGGTGATCTGTTTGGTATTTTGAAAAATAAAATTCACAGACATGTTTTGTATAGGTATGGCCCTACAATATATTTTTCAAATATAGCATGATAGGTCCACTTTAAGTCAGAGTTTGTGGTTCAGGGCAGGATGGATATCCTAGGTGATTATACTCAGTAAACAGAGACATCAGAGACAAAGACATCAGACGCTGCTGGGACAGGATAAACATTCCCCCCTGCCTCACAGACCTCCCCCTCAACTAAATGACATTTTTCCATTGTTTTTGGCGATATTGCAGAGAATAAGCTCTGTGGCAAACACACGTTGATGATTACATGTTTTGTTCATCAGGATAATCTGAAACGTTGATTTAAATGTGCACAGCTCCTTATTTTTTGTCTGGAACCTCCACCCAGCTCCATTTTCTTTTTCCTCCCCCTTAATTCCTGTCTCCCCCTGCTCCTCTATTCATTACATTATATTTTCCCCTCTGTCCTCCCCCAGCTCCTCTCCCAAGCTCCTCTCCTCCCCACAGACCTCCACTCTCTCCTCTCCTCTCCTCTGCAGTACTCTGCCAAGAAGAAGGATATTCTGTTGAACTTTGTATCCGGTGCTGCTATGTGGCTGACACGCAGGAACCGGGTCCTGGAGGGTGGAATACACCTTTGATCACATGATAGACCATGTGCTGCCTTCCAGTCAGATTTGGGCTGTAGGGGGCTATTTTAGGCTCTGTGGGTGCATGGAAGTCCTGTGTTGGGGTGACTGGTTGTTTTGTTGTTTGTTCTTCTCTGTAATGAAATATTTTACTAAAGGGTATTTGAAAACCAAATCAACCTCTCCTCTCCTAGCTCCTCCTCTAGAAAGTGGTCTACTGTATCCTTGCAATAAATAAATAAAAAGGACTTTGAAAAACAAACCTCTCCTCCCCCCAGCTCCTCTCCTGCAGTGAATAATAGTGAATTTGGAACTTAGGTTCAATAACGGTGAGGAATATTTTGTTGGTTTGCTCTCGTACTGCTTCCTACGTGTGTGGGAGAGAAACTCCCTCCGGAGGGAACACAAGGGTTTTAGCCTTTGCACACCATTTACATGCACAAAACTCTATAGAACACACTACAGGGAAGTAGTGGGGCAGCTTAGCTAGAAATTCCATAACAATTGTGCATTTTGTGATACAAGCATCAAATTCGGTACATTTGTAGCCAAAGACATATAGAAAAAAATTAGATATGGAGGCATCATGAATTTTAAATATGTTTAATGGTTAACATGAACATTTATCTAAAAACAGTTGTCACTGGCGGCCATTGTGAAAAATGGCTGCCATATTGAAAATTCATGATGGCTTCATGTTCTGCATGTCTTTGGCTATAACTGTACCACATTTGATGATTCTATCATATAATATTCATCGTGAATATGAAATTCCATCTAACAACAGTTCATCTTGAAAAATGGCCGCCATATTGAAAATCCATGATGCCTCCATATCTCATTTTTTTCTTTATGTCTTTGGCTACAAGTGTACGAATTTGATGCTTGTATCACAAAATGCACAACTGTTATGGTTATCTGCCCCACTAAAGGGAAGACTCCAAAAAGCATAAAAGGGCCCCTTTAAAGCATCAGTCTATATCCATATTACCCCTGTATAGTCCTGTGCTGGTGCAGATGAACAGTGTGAAACTTGGTTAGTCTTTGGACCAGTGGTGTAGTGGGGATTTTTTTACTGGGTGGACGGGGCGGGGGGAGACACTATGGACGCGCTCGTGAACTGTCAACAGGGGGGGGGGGGTACACTGTGGACCTCTGTGTCGCCTGTCAGCTCAACATGATGCCGTTTAAACAATATAATAATAAAGGGCGGTGCCGGCCGTCAGCGAACCGATCCGGCCTTTCTGCGCGACTGTCACTCAAATGCGGGACATATTGTCTCAATTTGTGGGACGCGGGACAAATAATAAAAATGCTGTGTGTGCACTGTGCAGTCCCACACAAAGCGGGACACCTGGTCACCCTACACACACACGGTGCTGCCCCTCACACACACACGCTTCAAATCAAGTTGCATAAATGCTTGAGCTACGTTTTTATTATAATTACTGTGAAATCTGTTTTCGTCATTATTACAACAAATACACACTTGCAACTGATAACACTGGCAATAGTTTTATATTTATTAGACTGTTAAAAAAAAAAATCATGCTTCAAATAAGTGGGGGTACGGCGTACCCCCGCGTCCAACGCCCACACCACTGCTTTGGACCAAAACCTCAGTACAGCATTATTCCTAAACGGTCAACCTGCATTGTGTCTCATGATGTTTATCATTCTAAGCAGCATGTTCCTTTAGCCTTCAGCCATGTATTTCCTGCATGCATTGCTACATTTGTCGGCTACTCATGGGTATCTCTCTGCTCAAAGACTTCTTCTGCCAGGAGGATTCTCTTCATTTGACCAAATAAGGGATCACAGATACAACTGTGAATCCCCCGTCTCCCCTCCCCACCACATTTAGAAGTGATGGCACTTTAGCCAGCTCTCCATAAACTCTGTTTATGTTCACTAAATTGCCTCAATGCTCTCTCAAACATGTGCAAATGGGTACTCTCAGCTGTTAGATAAAGGGGAGATAGAAATGCTTTTTCTCGTTCCGTTAACAACTATTTGCTTCAGGAAATACATTATTGTCTCTTTTCATTTTAAATATAGCCAACAACAAAAATACATATCCAAAGCTGAATGGTCTGCAATGTTGCACTATTACAGCACTGCCTTCAACTCCCTCCATGTCTTCCAATGCTTCCTGTGAATATCTACATCTATATGCCTTTAGGATGCTTGTCCATTCAGTTTGAGTTCATATTTCATTTTATACATATTATAATTCCCATTGCAACGACTTTGCAATCAGGGTTTTGAATCCAACAACAAGTCTGCCAAGCTGATTTGTTGGTGCCACATTGTTTGGGAAAAAAACAGAACTGCAGTTAAAGTGCCCTGTTGGATGCTCCCGACAAAAAAGTTCCCAGTAGGTAAACGTTTTAGTTCAGAAAATTTGATGAATGTGGCCTTAAACTAGAGAGTACACGATACAGTGAAGAACGATATATATACATATAATATATAGGCTCCATACTATAATAGTTTTAGCATGTTGGTGCCCCACCACATACAGCTGGGTCCTTTTTTTAAGGAACAAGCTCCCCATTTACATCAGGACAGCAAATTGCAACTGCAACTTGGCCAATAAAAATATATCTCACTTCTGTACGTACCAATAAGACAGTTTGGACTTACTATGAAGGAGATTCAGTAGCACTTTTTTTTGGCTTATTCATACACTAAAAAAAACTGAAATGTTGACTTTAATTAAATGTATTGTCAACAAATTTCGGGTAACTGTATCAGGTTAGTTGAAAGCAATTATATTGAGTTCAACCTAATATTTCAACTAACCTAATACACTTATGTGAAATCTAATGCATTTAATTAAAGTCAACGGTTCAGTTTTTTCAGGAGCTAATGTGTCTTCATGGTTGAATCCTCTGGAAGTCGCTTTGAATAAAAGCCTCAGCTAAATGTAATGTAATGTATGTTGTGGTCACAGGTCATGTGATCACCGTGGACTCCGCCCTCCTGAAGGAGCAGCAGCAGGCGGTCCTGGTCAGTCCGGTTCTGGACCAACAGGACTGGAGCTGTGTGAGGCTGGTGTACCAGATCACCGGGGGGGGGTCCCTGCAGCTCTTCCTCAGACCAGATGGGGATAACTTTGACCACCGGATGTGGACTGCCAACCAAGCCTCTGACAGCTGGCTCATCGCTAGTGTGGACCTACCCAACAGCACCACCCCCTACCAGGTAAGTTGTAGTTTGTCTTCACCCCATCTGTTGAGTGCACCTGTATTCAATTCAATATTTGTTCCACTTATACTGAAAATCTTGCAAAGTAGTGCTCCACCTGCGATCAGCTGTCACAGGCATTCCTATCAACATAGCATTTCTCATAGGTCTCTACACTTAAAATGTGTCTTAGCTGCTACAGGGTAATCGCAGCAGGTATTTGTCTTTCCTTCTTTTATTCCACAGCAATACTTGCAACACAACCTTTAGCACTTAGAAAGGAGCCTGCTGTCCCAGTCAGTTTTTGTGAGACTGATGTATTCATGCTGCTGATTGTTGCCTGGGAAGAGAACATTTGATCACACAAGTTTCAAGATCCTGCACTGGCTTCCTCTTAATGACTTGTGGAGGATTTTGAATATGGTGATTGTTTCAGGGGTTCATCGACAGCTAGTGAAGGTGTTTTTGGTTTGATTTATATTTATATTTAAATTAAAATCAACCAATAAAACATGTTTAGTACTTCACGCACATTAATGAGCTGTGTTTTCACAGTGGTTGTTTAATATTTGTAATTTAATTATTTACTGTAAATGGTTGTTAATACATGCATGTATTGACATGACTTTACTGTATGAATTATTCAAGTTGCATCTAATGTCACCTGCTTTTTTGTAATTTAAAGAAAGTTAATGCTCCAAAACACAGAGTGAGTTTGAGGCCAAGTGTTATAAAAGCATGGTGATGTCATCTCAGGCTCTTTCTAAATTTAACTAGCTTCTTTATTGTCAACAAGAGTGCTAACCTCTTCCATCCAGAACAATTCCTAAAGTGAATATATACAGACTGTGAAATCAAAATAAATGGCTCAAGTGTAATAACTTAAAACCATGCTGTGAGTCTCATGAGTTATGAGAGGAAAAGAAAACTACATCATGTTGTTACTTATGGCGCATTTCCACTACAGCGCGGTTTAAGCCTGCCGAGCCGTGCACGGCCCGTTTTTGGTTGCGTTTCCACTAGGCGTAGTACCGGCTAGCGGGTACTATTTCACAGTTTTTTTGGCCCCATAAAATCGAGGTTCTTAGCGGGCCAACAACCAGGCTGAGTCGAGCTGAGTATGCTAAACTAGAGAGAGGGAATCGCTGGCAAGGGGGCTACAACTACAACAAGATGAACATATTTGACCGTGATTTCATTGTAATACACGTTTCAAAATGATGCCGAAGTAACAACATACTGATACCGGTTAGTAAAAACCATGAATTAATGCTTTGACAAGTCTGCAGACAGACGGCAGGCGAAAAACCTTTTAAAATGCGTGTTTTCTGAATGGAGATCGGCTAAGCTAACGCAGTATATGCTCCGACCGTCCACACTCACAACAACGGCCTATACAGACATAAATAAAGCAGCGACTGTATTCACCATGACACAGGCAGTCTGTGGTTTGTACTTGTTTAACTTTTGTCTAGTTTCTGAACAGATATGAGGAGCTGTGAGCTCTGAGTGCTAACAGCTAACGGCTGATGTTGGTTTTGTGTTTCGCATTGAAGATGACGTCACGGTTCCGCCTACACTGCGTTACTATAGTTACTGCCCCAGCTACTAAACTGTAATGGAAACGCAGCATAAAGTGAGCCTGGCCTAACAAGGCCTAACTATACCGTACTAAGCTGAGCGAGGCCCTGCAATGGAAATGCGCCATTAGAGTAATGACACAGCTATATTTAAAGGCTGGCTGTTCTCTCAAATCACTTAAGCATGGCCGCAGGCAGCCCAGTGTTTATATCTGGAGGATTAGTACTTATAATACTGACAAGTGTGTTCCAGTGCACTGCCTGGAAGGGTTGTCTCTCTGTGTGGCCAGATGTGAAATCTTTCACACTTTCTAAGTTAGTCAGAGTCATTCCCAGACTCACAATGGCAGACCAACAGGGCTGGCAATGTGATGGGGTATGGGATGTCATTTCACATGTGATAAGTGATGTGGCAGGTGATATGACATGAGATGTGACAGGTAATATGACATCTGATGTGATAGGTGATATGACACGTAATATGACATCTGATGGAATATGGAATATAACCTGTATTATGACATGATATAGGTGATGTGACATATAATAAGACATGTGTTTTGGCATAGGATATGACACTTCATATAGCATGTGATATAATACTTGATATGACATGTGATGACATACTGTGCGGATAGATCTGATGTTTAGGGGATGATTTAGGCCGGGCAGATATTATTATGTTTGTTCCTAATAAAGATATGAACATATCACACCACTTCCAATCTCTGCAGTGTTTACCAGTAAAGTAAATAATACATTTTCAAAAAGTAGGGAAGTTCTTCTCATTGCGTGATGCAAACCAATATTAAAATTGGTTGGGATTTCAAAACGTACATAGTCTGAGTTTTTCAACAGATTAATATAGATTCAAAAACATGACCTTTGAGTTGTTTAATCTTAAAAAGGTAATGTAATCTAAAATGTCACTGAGTACATTTGGTCAATTACTGTACTTAAATACACATATTGTGAAGTACAAAGGTAAATCCAACCTTCTTCACAATTCATTAATTCGGCAATTCATCGAGTACTTCAGTGACATGATTTGCTATGGTTCTTATGTGATGGGACTTGATTTGTTGTCATTCAATGCTGATCTTATTTATAATGATATCATTTAACCTATGGTGACAGAATATTATGTTTGGAATTCTCTTTTTCCTGCCACAGGTTCTGCTGGAAGGTCGACCTGAACGTGGCTCAGGGAACAGCGTGGCCATCTTTGAAATTCACATTGTCACTGGTTACTGTATAGGTCAGTGTGTTCTAAGCATTGATGTTTTTACCTTTGTTGTTAAGTCTGATATGAAACTGTATTTATGTATCTGCAAGGAGTAATGGTTGTCTGTACTTTTCAGAGTGTAATTTTGAAGAGCATCACCTGTGTGGATATAGCAACAGCTGGAACCCAAATGTCAACTGGTACGTCGGGGGGAGCGTGCCTGTCAATCACAGCACACATCACCAGAGAGGTACACACACACACACACACACACACACATACATACATACATACATACATACATACATACATACATACATACATACATACATACATACATACATACATACATACACACACACACACACACACACACAAGTTTAAGTGTACTATATACAGGGCGACTGTGGCTGCGAGGGAGTGCGGTCGTCTTTCAACCAGAAGGTTGTGGGTTCGATCCCTGGCCATGCAGTCAACATGTCGATGTATCCTTGGGCAAGACACTTAACCCTGAGTTGCTCCCGATGGCATGGCCAACGGTGTGTGAATGTGTATGAATGTTAGTTCCTAGAGTTAGGTACACTGCTGTATGAATGGGTGTGAATGGGTGAACGACATGTAGTATGTAAAGCGCTTTGAGGTGTCTTAAAGACTGGATAAAGCGCTATATAAGTACAGTCCATTTACTATGTAAAACAACCGAACAATATCACCTTAAAGGGGACCTATCATGCAAAATCCACTTTTGTACGTCTTTTATACATGAATATGTGTCCCCGGTGTGTCAGGGAACTCGCCAAGTGTCAGAAAACACAACCCTCACTCTTTTCCTCCATACCCAAATCTCTAAAAACGGGGCTGCAACGGAGCTGATTATTATTTGAATTTTTCTGACGTCAGAAAAGGGGTGCTCCGCCTATATGGGCAACTCTCCACCTATCAGGGGAATGAGAGACCGCTCGAAAGCGCTGGAGATGCTGTAGTACATATGCCAGGCCTGTAAGTGGCACTGTAGTCTGCCACAAAAGCAGAATCAGCCCTTGTAAAAACAGGGCTGGAGAGGAGCAAATGCATGATCTGTTTGGTATTTTGAAAAAAAAACTTCACAGACATGTTTTATATAGGTATGGCCCTACAATATATGTTTCAAATATAGCATGATAGGTCCACTTTAAGAAAAAACAAACCAAGATATTTCGTTTGACAAATGTGTCCTCTGCTCAGAGATTGTATTGATAGGAAAATCTGCCTTTCATTATATTCAGGCAGTAGCTTATTCACCAGCAATGCAACACATGAGCACATACTGCAGTTTAAAAATATAAATAATATCCATAGAAACTTTTCAAACCATTACTTCCACACATTCCACTTCTGTCAATTTCTATGATCTGTACGTTCCAAACTCTCCAAACACATTCAGCCAAAGTATGGCTTAACATACAGCCTCCTTTTGTCACTACTGTGGTCAGCTGTTTGCGCCTGCGGCTCCCAACTGCTTATTACTGCAGTATTCTGGACTGTACTGAGGTATGACTGCTGGCCCACTCACTGCTTTCTGCACCTGCAGGCCTTCAATTCCAAAGGAGATTCACCGTCACTGTCTTAGACTTAAGTCAACCTACTTAAATCATTTTGTCTTTGCACTACTTTATTCCACAATTTGTTTATTTTACTTTTATATTAGGTATATAATATGTTGCATTGTTGTGGGAGCATGAGGCTTTAGATTTCATTTCCGTCAGATTCATTGCCAAAACTAGGCTGTAGCTATTGTGCATATTCCAAATAAAGCCTTTGAAGTCCTCTAGTTTTTATGGACATTCTCACTATCCCCAGCTGCCTCATTTTCTTTATACAGATCACTGTCCTGTTCAACATCCTCTCTTATATTCCCACCTTTAACAGTTCATGGTGTACCTATTTAAAACAATCTGGATCCAGATGCATATAAATGCTCTGTAGTTTGACAGTCAGTTTACATGGATTTATGGTTGTGAAGGCAGCATCTGTAATCAGGGAGCTGTGCTAGCCAATGAAATGAACTGCTTTTTGATTTGGTATGGATGAAAAATTCCAGGTTAACCGACTCTGCATTATATGTTTAAAGGCGACAACATGGTCATTGTTATAGAGTGATTAGAATAGAGTGATGCAGTGATTACGTATTTGTGTAGGCGGAAGTTAGCATAGCAAGGGCTCCCTCGACTACAAGCAATGACATTTTTCTGTTGGATTTTTCAATGTCAACACATGTTTATGATACTTACACCTTTTGTTCAGCACGATAATCTCCACATATTAACTATGCAAATCGCCAGAAGTGAAAAGCTAATGTTACGCTACAAAGGAACTACATTGTGGTCACGTGCTTTCGCATAACGGCGGCTAATGTTCGGTTTGATGACTTTAATAACCTCATTTAGTGCGCAATCGCTATTTTTTAAGACACAAAAAAGCTTGAGACATTCCAGTGGGTTATTTTATGCCGTAGAACAGAACATGAACATCTTGGAAATGTGTGTTTATTTCAGACCTTATTTAGGGAATCAAACCAAAAGTCATCCATAATCTATCCACTTCAAGTAGAGGTAGCAGTAAAATGTTCATTCATTTCCGGGGTTCAGACTCATTCCTGCACCACCTCATGCTCATTGCATTCTATGAGTATGAATACCTGTATACATGAGTCAGCGTTAAAACACACACAGCGTAACAACACACAAAGCGTAACAGCACACACGTCCTGTAAATGAACCTCCCATAACTGTGTCCCCTCAGCTCATCTCTCTCTCCCCTGCTCCAGGACACTACATGTATGTGGACTCTGTGTATGCCAAGCACTTCCAGGAAGTAGCCAAACTGAGTTCCCCCATGACCACGGTGCCCCTGGCCGGCTGCCTGTCCTTCTACTACAACAGAGACCAGGAGAGGGGGAACATCTTCTCACTGTTCACCAGAGACCAGCTGGGACACTACGAGGACATGTGGAGGCCCGAGGTGTTTGCTACAGCTGGCTGGACTCTGGTCAGTGTGGATATCAAGGCCCCCCACCCCCTGGAGGTCAGTACTGGAGCTAGCATTTACAATGATCAAGAGAAGTTCAGCTCCATATGTGGATATGTGGGTCTTCTTTGAATGCTAAGAAGACTACATTGTGCAAGCAAGATGATATTATGTATTTGCCTGATGCTTTAAAAGATAAGATAAGCATCCCCTATGTTTTTATTTCCTTAACTGTCTCTACTCTAAATCCATCCAACTTGTATTACATCGTCTGAGTACATTTTATTTACTAGTCTACCAGTTTCATTCATAAATCCCGAAGGAATCACATTCACAGACTTCAAACCATACATTATACTTAAAACCGTGTCTTATAGATCAGAACATTCTTATCAACATATACACAACAAACTGTCACAAAGCAACCAATGGTTTTTGGAAGGAATGAGCCAGGAGGTTGGGTCTGATACAAAATATGATCGAGTTGTATCATGGGACATGTAGAATACAGTGTTGTTGTCAATAGAAACTAGGCACTTAAAGACGGGATCTCATCCTCCTCCCATAAATATCTGCTCATAAATGGATGTATGAAGAGAACTGGATACAGTACAGGTGATCTTCCATTCATGGCGCCCATAGAGCATGCACACTTCGATCAGCTCCGTTACAGCCGGTCTCGGTGCATTTTACAACTTTTATGCCCTAACATTTATATAAGGGCTTTTTAACTGGCAAGTTGAATTCCATTAAAAAAAGATATCTGCTGCTTATTAGACATCTCTTTCCCAATGAAAGTCAATGGGAAAAAGTATTTTTCGGCCTAAATCACTTCACTGACTGACACAGAGTTGTAGTATCTCTGTTTGGACACTATGGCATTTTGCTTCAACAGCAGGCTCTCTTCCTGGAGGCTTGCCTCTGCCACATAGGTTCTGATCTGTTTTGCAGTCGTCAGCAGAGACCATTGTCTTGAGGCTTGGAAGCCTGCATATCAATGATCCTTCTGGCCTGTGGAGAAAAGCTCATCCTCGGCCTCACTGTGTGTCTGTGTCGACCTTTTGTTCTGAGTTTTCCTCCATGACAGGCTCTGAAGACCTTTTGACCACAACTCCCAGCAGCCGCCTCCACAAAGGAGGCTTGGAACACGGCCTGCTCGGATTCTACTCCCCAGCCTCAGGATAGGAGCACTGAAAACTAGTGGACTGCTATGAAGCCTTACATAATATTTGTTATCCACCGAGTTTCACGTGAAGCTAAGAAATATCATGCTAGGAAACTGATATATTTAAATTGAATACTTGGAAGGGTTCAGTTTAAAGGTCGACTGAGGCTTCTTCTCCTGTTAATTTTTTTTAGAGGTAATTATATGGGAAAGGTGTTTCTGCTGACTTGTTTCCTTTGTAATTATCCTATTTAAACTCTTTCCATGTCCAGTGTTCGTGTCAGACATGCTGCTGTACTGGCAAATATTACTGTCAGTCTCTTATTCCCCTTTATTACATTTCTTTGTTGTCTTAGAAAGATCATATTTCTCCTTGTATATCATCGAAAAGAAAACTCATTTGGTACTTCTCTGTCTCATACCTGTGTTGTGTGCATCTGAGTGGACACACACACACACACACACACAAGCAGACCCTGAGAGGCAAAGGGAGGGGGAACACAAACAACACACTGCATCTGAGACGCAACAGGACTACACACACACACACACACACACACACACACACACACATACACATACACATACACATACACACACACACACACACACACATACACATACACATACACACACACACACACATACACATACACATATACACACACACACACACACACACACACACACATACACATACACATACACATACACTCCTCCTTTCCACTGCACTTTTATGGTTTCCTTTGCTTGTGCTTTCAGCCAGAAACCCTCCCACAGGCGGCTGTCGCTGTGGAAAGAAGCTTGCATAACTTTACTAACTGGGTCAGCTCCTCTTTCCGATCCAGCCAAGAGTCGTACAGACCTTTTCCATCAAGCAGCACTCCACTCACTCACCCATGTTCCTGAATGTATGCTACACTGAGGTCACTGTGTGGCCTCTACAGCTGTCTTATCTATCACTACATGTTCACAACGTTTCTCCGAGCATGTTCTCTCAGACTCAGACAGGAAAAATGATGACTTAGAGTTGAAGTCACACATTACTCATCACACATCTGTTAACAGTTGCTGGTTATGTCTGTGTGTATTACCAGGTGGTATTTGAGGTGGCTTTTAACAGTGCCAGAGGCGGATACGTGGCAATAGATGACATCTCCTTTTCTCCTGAATTCTGCCACACTGACACAGGTGATTATAGGGCGGGGTGGTTAACTACAATCACAGACTGTTCTGTATCGCACTGAAAGTGAAATCTCACTTGTGGTCACTAGAGGCTGCAATGTTAAAGGGGCCTTTTTCTGCTCATTTTCAGTATGTAGTGTCTCTACTGTAACATGTTTCCATGCTTTAATGTTCAAAAAGCTCTTTATTTTTCTAATACTGCAACACTTTTCACCCTCTAAACAGCTTTTTGAACATTGAAACATTGCAACATGTCACAGTAGAGGCACAAAATACAAATATGAACCTGAAAATGAGCATATTAGGGCCCCTTTAACTAATCTTCCACTCCCAGAGAATTATGGCTGGTAAAGTCCGGCAAGGCATTTTGCCTCAAACTTATCTTCTGTATCAATTTTACAAATGTATTCATATGAAATGTATATTGTTATTTTCACTCACAGGATTTCCCACATTAAATGTTTACCATATTATAAACGTATTACCTGCCGTTGTAAAGTAAACAACAGTTTTATTCAAATAAAGTCAAAACAATGTGCTTGTTTTTAAAAAGTGATTATTTATTCATGAAACAAGAAAAGTACTTTTTTACATGGTAGGCCTTCAATACGCAGTCTAATAAATTATAGGTAATGATTACATTTATTTGAGGGTGGTTGATTATAAGAGGGAGCAATGGGCTGAGAGTCACTCATGGGTAATTAGTCACTTGTCATTCAAATCCAGCAGTGATGTTTCCTGCAAATAATCATTTTACAACCAGCAATGGTTCTCACGCAGAGACTTTAAGCTGCTAGTCTTTTATTCCAGCATCCTAACCCCCTCCCCCAGTTCCCCCTTTAGTTGAACGATGCACACTGTTCATATCTGAGGGGGGGCTCACTGTGATGCTGTGTTTTTTATTCCAGAGCCGAACTTTGACCCCTCTATAGCCAACTGTGACTTTGAGGACGGGCTGTGTCTGTACCATCAGGAGAAAACAGACAGTAAGGAGTGGAGCCGAGTGTCAGTGAAGCCTAACGCCTACAGGATAGGAGACCACACCACAGGAGTAGGTGAGTCTCACACACACACACACACACACACACACACACACACACACACACACACACACACACACACACACACACACACACACACACACACACACACACACACACACACACAAAAGAATGCACATGCCTACATGAACACACACACAATTCACGGATGTCTGCTGTTTGACAAGATGAACGTTTTTAGATTTATTCTGCACATGAAAATGTACTTTGTCATTATCATAATATTAAAGGTCGTTTGTACCAACTGCTGGAACTGCAGCGACAGCAACCAAACTTAAAATGACTGCAGCACCGATCGAGGTTTTCTGTTACTGTCTGTCTGTTTATATTTTATTTTCCATTAACCAGTCTTAAAACACTGCCAGAGCCCATACCGTGGGTGTTTCTCAATGTCGAGTACGCTTGCTTGGTAGCACATGTCTTCCGAGTCACTTGCTTCAGAAGCGAGGCAAGAATACTTCCTGCCATTCGGAAAACAAAGAGTGGAACAGGCTAGCAAGTGTGCAGGTGTGCGTCATATGAGAGGCCCCGCCTAACATCTTCCGCCACAGATTTGGGGAAATTGGTCCGTGCGCAAAGCATTGTGGGGATTTTAAGACCGCGGAGTCTACTCATGTGCAGCCTCGATATTTCTCCAAACGGAGTACGCCGGGCTCGGTAGATTTCCAAGTATGCTGGAGATTGGAACAGTACTTCGGCGGCACTCGATGACATAGTATGCTTGAAATAGTGGCTCTGCAGCAGCTTTACTCGCGATTGAGAAACACCCTGAGTTCCCTTTAGTGTGTACTTCCTGTCTGTCTTCTTCTGCTGTTCCCTTTAGTGTTTACTTCCTGTCTGTTTTCTTCTCTTGATTTCTCTGACGTCCAGCGCTCTGTCTTATAACCGCTTCACTTTCCTTTCTCCTGTTCTCTTTTTCTTTACTATAAAAAAAAATGAAATCTTTAATAAGTATTTCATGGTATTTTAGTGAGGGAATGATATGAATGCACATAGTCCCTATATCCTCTTCAGCAACAGTCTGTTCTCTTCATCAGCAATCTGGCTAGAATTAACTACCACTGGAATGTCCAAATTGACCAATCAGAATCAAGTATTTAGCTAAGCAGTATATGAAATGTATATTTTAGTGAGTGGGGTTAGTATTTGTTGGAAAGACAATCATAGAAGTAGTAAAGAAAAGTCACAGTTTTGAATGACGGTGTGAGTTTTTTAAATTGTTCTGAAAGTATATGTGTTCCTTTCATATTTACACATTGGTAAGACGATGGTCATTCTGGACGCTGTATTGTATTTTACACTGCATACCATTGTAGTTTAACATATGGTTGATGAACTAAAACCATCATCTTTGTTTTATATTGTGTTCTATGTCTCATTTTCTCTAGGCTGTTTCCTCCTGGTTAACACTCATTTCTCTTCGAGGCCGGGTTATGTGGGTCGACTTCATGGTCCCCTTTTACCAGGGAACCACAAGTACTGCCTGAGGTTCTACTACCTGCTTCATGGATTTAGGAAAGTAGACAACGCTCTGGCCCTTTATATTTATGATGAGAACAATGTGGCCCAGGAGAAGGTCTGGAGCCTGACTCACACATCCAGGGATGTATGGACTGAGGTGGAGATCACTTACATGAAGCCAATGCTTTCCAAGGTATAAAACATGGGTCACTATGATGGGTGATTTATGTGGACGTTAATGCTTTTGATTGGGAAGGATGGAATGGAAGAATGGATACACAGGTTAATGGATGGATGATTTACAAACGTCTTATTGATGAAGGGATGGATGGATGGTGACCAGGCCTAGAGACATACGAACGGTTAGATGGATGGATGGATGATGGACAGACCAATGGATAGATGATGGAAATGTGGTTGGATGTTGGATGGACAGACGGATGGATGGATTATTGAAAGTCAGACGAATGATGAATAGTCGTACAGACATACAGACGAATGGATGGATGGATGGATGGATGGATGGACAGACGGATGGATGGATGGATGGATGGATGGATGGATGGATGGATGGATGGACAGACGGATGGATGGATTATTGAAAGTCAGACGAATTATGAATAGTCGTACAGACGAATGGATGGATGAATGGATGGATGGATGGATGGATGGATGGATGATAGCAGTCAGTATTCAGTCCTTTCTGTTTCCCAGGTGGTGTTTGTCAGCATATGTAAGAACTTCTGGGAGTGTGGCTTGGCAGCCATCGATGACATCACTGTCAGCTTGGGGGACTGTCAGATGACAGCAGGTACAAACCCTACTAACAGTATACAGGGGCACCATATTCTTCAAAGCTTATTGTGTTATATTGTATTTATTTCAATATTTTATTATTTATCTTTATTCATGGCCGGTTGTCACGCTACACATTATTTGAGAATCAGTTCAATTTACATATATATATTTACTAGGCCAGGGTCCCTGGTGCTGCTTTGTCTCTCTTTCAGGTTAGGGGCCGTTGACGAAACAGACATTGCTGGGTTGGCCTGAGTCAACCAGGTACTGTAGATCACACTGAAATAACTGAAAAGTTGACTTTAATATTAAGTTGAAGCTAATATTTTTTATTTAAACTTAATATTATTGCTTTCAACTAACCTAATACAGTTTGTTGACATAATACATTTAATTAAAGTCAACGTTTCAGTTTTTTCAGTGCTGCCAGGAGCAGGCTGGGTAGTGGAACAGCCTTGAATCTTAACTAGTTAGCTTAGAACCCATCCCAGAATGATCCTGGAGTTTTAGTAAACTGTAGCACACACTGCGCTGATGCACACCTTCTGCATTGACGGTGTGTGTTTGCTGTGCAGGCTCCCTCCCGGGCCAGTGTGACTTTGAGAGTGGAGTCTGTGGCTACATACAGGATAAGAAAGGAGACAAAGCCGACTGGCTGCGAGTGCGAGGAGACACCCCCACCTCTTATACAGGACCCAGAGGAGACCACACCACTGGGGTGGGTGAGTCATTTCCTCTTCCATTGCTTTGTTCATTCATTCAGAGGTCATGTGTGATGTGAAAGGATTAATGTATCATTCCACTCCTAAAGATGTTCATCTCAGATGAGACGTCGACATCATGTTTCGACAGTTTTGGCTTTTGGATGATAATACAATTTTTTTCTAATTTACACAGTATTCTTTGTGTATTGTATTTTTACAGCTGAAATAACACGTCTCCACTGAGAAAACATCCCATAAATGTTTCATTATGCCTCACCCAGGTTACTTCATGTACATCGAGGCGTCACTGATGCGTCCGGGTCACAAAGCTCGACTGCTGACCTCTGACCTGCGGGGGTCCTCGTCCCCTCAGTGTTTGATCCTCTTCTACCACATGCACGGGTCTGGCTCCGGCATACTGAGCATGCTCCTGCGCCGCAGCGACAGAGAGCAGGACGCGTTGCTGTGGAGACGCCGGGGGGAGCAGAGCGTCAGCTGGATGAGGGCGATGGTGGACTACCAGTGTGACGTCCGACACCAGGTACGTCCCACTGGCTAATGCCAAGGAGAGGGAGAAAACCCCAAAAATAAATAAATACAGAACAGAGTAGAGCTCCCTCGTCTCTCAGCTCACTAAATGAATCTAACTAATGCAGGCTGCATGGCACAACAAGTACATTACATTACTTTAAGTTGATACTTTTATCCAAAGCAACATACAATAAAGCAATAAAACCATGAGCAAACTAACTCTGAACAGCAAGAAACATGCAGGTCTGTTCCAACCCGTTTTAAGTACTGGTGCATTAAACGTTTTTATTTTGTATAGTCAAATTAGAAACGACAGAAAGGGTGTGTCTGGTATTAGGACTGCATATACTGCAAATAATATAACTGTTCCAGAAAATGAGAAGAGAAAGAAAACAAATGTCATCAAGTGCATATACAGATCACAAAACAATTAAATGTAACCATCAACAGTTTTAAAGAATATCCCTAAAATGATGTTTTTTATTGTATCATTTGGTTAACTGAACTCAAAAAGTCAATATTAGAATTAGAGATTAATATATGTTTCTGTAATCTGTAAATACAATTATTATATATATATATATAAAACAATACAATTTGGAAACTGGATATAATTGATCCATATTAGACATATGCACATCATATATAGTCACATCATTTGTGTCTCTTTCAGATCATATTTGAAGCCATCCGAGGCCCATCACTACGAAGTGATATTGCTATTGATGACATCTCCTTTAAAAGAGGACCATGTGAAGGTGAGTAACAGAAGTATTATTCCACAGGGGATGGGTATTTTAAATGTGTTGGGGCTAAAGTAATACTGTCTGCATTGTTTCCTGAGTGTAACAGTAATATCTGTGTCCTCCTCTTCAGATCCCGGGGACTTCGCTCCGTACTCAGGCTTCTCTGAGTATTTTAATGAGATCGAATAATGAGAAAGCGAGAAGTCTTTCTGTATAAAAGTTTGTGGGTTTCAGAAGTGTGACTAATCCACCGACAATTTACAAAGTTGTAGAGCAATGCTTACAGTGTGTTGCAGCCAGTACCTCTAGAGCAGTGTGTCTGTCTTTCTTCACCTCTCAGTCTGCCATTTTAATGTTGGTGCATTCATTTTCAAATGTTTATATTTTGAATTGGATTACATCATCGTCCCTGTGACAGTCAGATACACAGCCACTGTGTTAAAAGCCGGTCATACAAATATTTGTTAACTACGCTGTAGATTAATGAAAAAATGTATTTCAGTTACAAAGCACTAATTATGTGCTACTTCATAACCAAATGTCCTATCAGGTACACAGGGGTTCTATTCACAATGTTAAAAAAATGATGTCAAAAAACTTGAATTGACCTTCTGCTCAGTATGGGGCCGACAGAGCCAAACGTGTTACTATGGCCCAAACAGGAGGGGAAACACGGTGCAGTTTGAAAATAAAAAAATGATGCAAATAAAAAAACACAAATGTATTTCATTTTACATGCAAATAAAGAAACATCATCAACAACTTGACATAACATGTGCAGCATTTAGAAAAACATTCACCACCTTGAGGAAACATGAGCCGGGTTTACTAAAAGTGCTGCATGAACGAAACGCTGCAAATATAAAAAAGCAGCAAGAAGGCCAAAACACAACGGACACCAGGGGGCGCAGTGGGACCGCAGTGGGACCGCAGTGGGACCGCAGTGGGACCGCAGTGGGACCGCATCGCTAGGTGACGTTCAATGATCTCAAGGGATACACCTGGGTAAATAAAGGCTTGAAAAAAATTGTAATGACTCGATTAGCTACCTTAGCTAGCTAGCTTACAGCAGATGTGCAATAATATCAGAAGGAGTCATGGGATCACATTGTTAAAAATAAGCTGATAAAACTTACATTTTAGTTTTTTATTTGCAACATTTTGTTTGTGCAGTGCTTTCACTTAACGTTGCATATGTTTGGTAAATGTTTTCGAAAAGATGCACACGTGTTGTCAAGTCGTTAAAGATGTTTCTATATTTGCATGTGTTTTGGCACATTTGCGTTTTTATATTTGAAACCTTTTTAAAGCGCATTTCTCCTGATGGAAATGTTTTGGGCCGTTGAAACGCGTTTTAACCTTTCGGCCACCGTAGCTCAAGGTGAGATGGCTTAGTCTAATTGGGCAAAACATTGAAATCTGTGGATTACAAAATGTGGAACCATGTAATTACACACTTTGGTTGCTAGTGGTAATGAGCCTTGATCACTGCCATGAAACAAAGCACACAACAACACTATGAAAACATTAAGAAAAATACTCTTTTTACAATGCTTTATTTGTGTATCCACCAATGCTTTATTGTTTGTTCATTAACTCTGTCCTGTATATATTTGTTTAAAGTATCAACTGATTGAATTTACAAATGGGCTTCGGCCATACAACTGTGTTGATGTTGCTTGTTAGGTTATTTCTTTGTCAGATTTGTTAATGTTAGTTCCACTGTGACAAAGGATTTGAGTCCAGCTTTAGTCTTCAGTCAAAATCTAAGCGCTTCCAGATAATGGTAAAGGTTTTTGAAATCCTGTCATGTATTCAGTAAGGTGCTGGAAACCTTCCCTCGATGGTGGCTCATGAGCATCTTACATTTCTCGCAGACCTTCACAGATACATGCCACCTCTCTGCAGCGCTGAGTCTTCTGTCTGTGAGATCTTGTTGTACCATGCTTCCTGTTTAGCCTCTTAACCCGAGTAAAAGTTGCTGATTTTGATGTCTGGACTCAGGCTTTTTCTTATTGGCTTCTTAATGACTTGTATATGGTATATAGTGGTGCAGTGATGCAGGTAATTGCCATTAACTAGTATTGCTCAGGTTCATTTTTAATTTCAAACCTTTATTTAACCAGGTAGGTCCCATTGAGATCATTGATCTCTTTTTCAAGGTGGACCTGCAGCAAGTAGGTTACACATGAAACATAAAACAACATAAAACAATAAAGGACATCAATACATCATATTTACAGGGCTACATTTACATATCTATCGACATTTACAAGTACCAACAGTATCAAAGAGCATTGCACCTATCCGAGCTTTAAAAACAGGCAGTGGAACCAACTTGCTCAGTTTCAATTCTTTTTGAAGACTGTTCCAAGCAAGAGGAGCTGCACACATAAAAGCTTTCGTACCTAAGTCAGTCCTTGCACTTGGCACATGTAACAAGACCACATCATGTGATCTCAGGCAATAGCTACCTGCAATTCTGTGATCAGAGAGTAGATATAAGATGGGAGTTTACCCAACATGGCTTTATGAACATGTACCAATGACTGAGACTCCGTACAGTAAGTGAAGGCCAACCTGCCCTGGTATACAGGGTACAGTGATGAGTAAGTGCTTTACAGTTAGTAACAAATCTCTGCACTGTGATAGGCGGCATCTAACTTGTTCAGGCAATGGGCAGGTGCATTCATATAGATCAAATCCCCATAGTCCAGCACAGGTCAAAAGGTCACAGTGACTAGCCTTTTCCTGGCCTCAAGTGAGAAACAGGACTTGTTTCTGAAAAAGAAACCTAGTCTAACCCTCAGCTTTTTAAGCAGATTATTGACCTGAAGTTTAAAAGAGAGACAATCATCAATTTATAACAGGCAACCATTTCAAGTATTTTTCCTTGCGCAGTAGACCAAAGCGGTCTCTGGTGTCTTTTTGGCTGTTGAAAATAGCATTACCTTAGTTTTAGCAACATTTAAAATAAGCTTTAGTTCAGAGAGCTGAGTCTGACTAATATTAAAAACAGCCTGTAATTTAACAACAGCCTCCTTAATGGAGGGACCTACACAATACATCACGGCAGTGGCGTAACTATTGCCGGTGCAACGCACCGAGGCCCAGAGCCAGCCAGGGGCCCATGCAAATACAAATCTTTTTTATATATATTTTCTTTTTACATTTTTTTTTTGGGGCCCCAATGGCATTGACTGGTTCATGCAGTCTTCAAAGTAACCAATCAACCTAAATTAATTTGTAATGTGTCTGTCCAATGACCTAGCTCCCTTTCATGTCATGTGATACCTTGCGTGACGAGTGAACCGTTTAATCAACCTGTACTGTACTGTAGCTTGCAGCAGCAAGTTCAGCAGCATTATAAAAAATGTAATAGCTTGCATTTATAATGTACAGCAAACCAAAGCACAAGAGCGGCGCCCAAAAGAGAAAGGACAAGAGAGAACAAGGAGATGTAACAAGGAGATGTAACAGCTAAACTGACGAAATTAGACAGTCATACATCGTCCTCGAAATCGAGCGCTAATGTTAGCAATGTTGACGTGCAGCGGCAGCCGGAGTCGGAGGCTAACGATAGCTCACCTGCCTCACCACCATCATTGCCATCTAGCTCCACAAGTGAAGCTGTATCCGTGGCTGTGCGACCTTCTTCTCCAGCCAGCCAGGAGGAGAGGCTGGATTTGGCTGTGCCCGGCAGTGGTCCAACAGTTCCCCTAAGGGCCCCAACCAATAGGGGACTCTATGGCGCTATTGAGACCCCCAACGCCAAGATCAAAAGCTATATTATAGCAACCGGTCCATGTAGGCCTACCGGCCCATTCCCCAGAGACAAACATCAAGAGGCGCTTTCACACCGGAGTACTTTTCCCCGTACTTTTCCCCGTACTTTTCCCGTTTAGTTCCGATAGTTCCTCGGATTTTGCGTTCACACCAAAAAGAGAACTTAGTTCATAAGAACATTTACCTCCTTTTTAGTGCCTGCTAGAGAGGTGGTACTTTCCTGGGGAGAAAAATGTTCCAATTTCTGATTGGCTGGGCGAATTGCAAACCATGCCCCGTAAAACTCTGAAAAGTTTTGTGAAGCCGCCATTGTATTTGCTGGCATTAGCATTATTAGCATTAGCATTAGCCCAGCGCACCAACGGAGAGAGAATAACTTATGGCAACACAAAAAAAAACATGGGAGCGGTGGAGTGATGAGGAGGTGTCGGCGTTCTGGCGATTTACTCGGAAGGCTTCAGTAGAAGCTGCTGGGAGTCTCCCAAAACAATATTTGCACCGGGGCCAATCACAACCTTGTTACGCCACTGCATCACGGTATCGTCAGCATAAAAATGTAAAGTTGCTTCATCCACATTTTGACCTAAACTGTTGATATAGAATAATAGTGGACCTAAAACAGAACCTTGTGGTACACCATTTGTAATGTTTAACCACTCAGAAGTGAGCCCATCAAACTGAACACATTGGGACCTTTCAGAGAGGTAGTTCACAAACCACCCCACTGCATGGCTGGATATGCCAATACTGGCGAGCCTCTGCTTCAACATATGATGATCGACGGTATCGAAAGCTTTGGAAAGATCAATAAACAGAGCTGCACAACTCTGCTTATTGTCTAAGATACCCACAATATCATTCACCACTTTCATTGTCGCAGTGATGGTGCTATGTTGCTTTCTGAAACCTGACTGATGTTTACATAGGATGTCATTTTTACATAAAAACTCCTTTACCTGTTCACTCACTAGGCTTTCAAGAACCTTGGCCAGAACTGACAATTTAGAGATGGGCCTATAATTATTTAATAAAGGGGCCCCCCTCCTTTCAGTAAAGGCAGGACATAAGCTGACTTCCATACTTTTGGAATTGTGTTCGTGCTGAGAGAGAGGTTAAAAAGAGTAGTGAGAGGTGGAGCAATAAAATCTGCAGCTATCTTTAAAAAGAAAGGTTCTACGTTGTCTGGACCAGCTGGTTTCTTAGGATCTAACTTAGATAATGCTTCATGAACAACACATCAATAGTAAAAGGAGAACAACTGAAGGGGTTTTCCAGACCACATTGTTCAGAGTCACAGACTGTGGTGTTCACAAAAGCAGAATTAGTAACAGAATCAAACAGAGAGCCACAGGACACAAAATGCTCATTAAAACAATTTAACATAGTAGCCCTGTCCGATATAGTGCCAGATGCTGTGGTAAGGCAAGGAGGTAGCTCATTACGGATTTCACCGGTGGATATCGATTTAATGGTTTTCCAAAATGTTCTAGGATTATTCAGGTTCTTTGTGGTAACTGACAGATAATACTTCGACTTACCTACTGCTCACTTACAAAGCCCTACATAACCTGGCCCCCCCTATCTGGCTGACCTTCTTCAGGAGTACACCCCCTCTCGCTCCCTCCGCTCCTCCTCTGCTGGTCTGTTAACCGTCCCCACCCCACGCCTCGTCACCATGGGTGCTCGGGCTTTTAGCTGCACTGCTCCCAGACTCTGGAACTCCCTCCCCCCGCACATCCGACAGTCAGACACAATCACCATATTCAAATCCCAATTAAAAACCCACCTGTTCAGATCTGCCTACTCACTGTAGTGCTCCCCATTATATGTTTCATTTGTGTCCACTTGACTGTCTCCTCCATGATTTCCTGTTTGTGTTTTATCATGTTTTGTTGCCTATTAGCGTTTTCTTTATTTTTTTAAACAAATTGTAGGGTGTCCTTGGGTGTCATGAAAGGCGCCTAAAAATAAAATGTATTATTATTATTATTATTAGCACTTTTGATTTGCAATGTGAAACTATTTCTTAGCTGCCTAAAACGAAGCCATTCGACGTCTAAGCCTGATTTCCTAGCCTTTGCCCAGGCCTTGTTTCTCTCATGTAGGAGGCTAGACAATTCAGCAGAAAACCAAGGATTGTCTCGTCCCTTCACTCTAAATTTACGCAGGGGTGCATGTCTATCAATAATTTCCATAAAACCAAGATAAAAATAAGACCATGCAGTTTCAACATCATCACACAGATCGATTTTTCCCCAATCAAAACCAAACAGATCATGTACAAAACCCTGCTCCACAAAACGTTTTGTGTCTCTCTTATAATAATGCGAGGTTTACCCTTTTGGACCTTTGTGTCCCTGATTGTGGCTACAACACAGTGGTCACTCACATCATTTGCAAATATTCCCACAGATGAGTATTTATGGGGAACATTAGTTAAAACTAGAGAATGCAATTCCTGAAGAAATTGCGAGTGGGAATGCTTTATGCTGAAAAGCTGACGCTAAACTGCTATGTTGAAATGTAATGTGTAGAAGAAAGTGAAGAATTTAGATTGAAATGATACATGAACACTGGGGGCTTGAATGTGTGATGAGTGAAGAAAAGAAAGTAAAAAGGCTTGGAAAAGCAGCAGAATATTTGAACTGCAAACTTTTAAACTAACTTGATGGCGAATAATCTGTCGCCATGGCAACGGCATTTGATGACACCCCATAATACGCTTAGATGCGTTGATGGCTACATCGTTACCAAACCTGTGAAGTTTTGGGCCGTTTGGAACATTTTCACTGAAGTTATGAGAAAACCGTGTTTCATGGCGAGCATTTTGTTGCCATGGCAATGGCATTTGAAGAAACCCCATAATTGACGTAGAGCTGTTGAGGGCTGGACCGGTGATATACAAGCGAAGTTTGGGGGACGATCGGACCGTTTCCATTGGACTTACAGCGACATCGTGCTTCATGGCGAGTGGTCTGTCGCCATGGCAACGGCATTTGATGACACCCCATAATACGCTTAGATGCGTTGATGGCTGCATCGTTACCAAACCTGTGAAGTTTTGGGCCGTTTGAAGCATTTTCACTGAAGTTATGAGAAAACCGTGTTTCATGGCGAGCATTGTGTTGCCATGGCAACGGCATTTGAAGAAAAACAAAAAGTGTATCTCGAGCTGGTTTCTCAAACTTACCTACCCCACCTTTAA